ATCTTCTTTTGCACAAGGGCAATGTAAATCTCTCTCCATCCTCTAGGGATATTATTTTTTCCACTCAAATCTCCCTTATGAGACAATTTGGGTTGAGATAAAGTAATGGTCCAAAGTCAACTGGAAGAGTGCAGGTAACGCTATATAAGCATTGCATTGGTTTAACACACTTAAGCACACATGCCCTGCATGCACAATTTCCATTCCATTCTTCTCTTTCTCCAGAACATGCTTTCTTCTCCCACAGATCCATGCAGCCAGAAGCAGCGGGTTGCTTTTGCCCTGCAACTTTGCCTTTTCCGACACCTTCTTTTTATAACTTGGGCCTGTCCTGTTCTGAATGACCTGTCAGAACTACCGCTCTGGACCCATCCAATTGATCCAAAAGTGCAGCCCCTTAAAAACTTGGGGAGCGACCACAGGGATTTAAAACAAGCTTGCCTTGCACACTGCTCCCCACAGCCCTGCGATCTTCCTTCCCACCGCCAATCACGCACTGGCCCTGAAGCACCATTGTTTCTGCCCACCACCCAATTGGATGGGGGCCATTTGTTCTGTGCAGAAAAACACCTGTGACAAACAGTTCCTGGGCAAATGGGCAGGGAGAAAGGGCGGGAAGCAGAGGGCCAGGGGGCCATTGACAGTGGACAATGGCTGGGGGAAGGCCAACGGAGGAGGAAAGCTGGCTTTGAATCAGCTGAGATGGGTGGTAAATGGCATGGCCAAGGATCGGTGCCTAAATGTCCCATTTCACTCAGGACAGTGGAAGAAGACTGCAGTCAGCTGAGAGCAGTGGGGGTGGGTGGGTGGAAGGTGACAGGTTAAGATGGCTCCAGAATTCAGGGTAGCTTAAGGGGCAGTGATGGAGGGGGAGATAAGTGGGTGGGGGAAGCTGAAGTGGAAGAAAGTGTGGCAAGGGGGCAAAAATGGAAGTTGTGATGACCACAATAGAACTTCTGGAATGGCTGTTGCTAAATGGTGTGATCCATTGGCCATGTTTCGGCCAATGACTGCTTCTTTATTGACAGAAATTCCACCACCATAACTGAGTCGTCACATTGCTGCTGGTCATCCCCTTCTTTCCTTCCACTTTCCCCAGCATCGTAGCCATTTCCAGAGATCTGGTTTTAGCATCATGCATCTCAAGTAGGGAAACATGAGGCTGGTTATGTGTGTCTTGACTGAGAACTTTGGGTGGAGTTGTTCAATGATCCATCAGTTCGTTTTCTTGGCTGTATATTGTTTAGTAAAAATAGAACATGATGGTTGAGCTGCAGAATGTTTTTAGCCCCTTGGCTTAGAAGCACTAGAAGTAGCAAAGTCCCCAAATGGCTCTTCAAAAGTGGAACCAATAGTTTAGAATTCACATCTATGTGTCACAAGAATACCTAAAAAATGTGGGATTCAAAACTGCAGGTATATTTAAAGCATGTATCCTTTACTCACAAACTCTCAGACCACCTTAAGATGCTAACAGTACAATTAAAACAGTATGAACATTGTTATTGAAATCAGTCATAGTATATTCTCTCTCTCTCTCGTGTATGTGTGTGTATGCGCGCACTTGTGCATGTACACATGTATGTAGTTTTATAGAAGGTGAAGAGCAATGGTAATAGAAATGTCTGTATTAGGTGTCTCAATTCCAGTAGTAAAACCTCCCTGTAGAGGACCTCCTGCAAATAGACACTACAGCTTTCCTCAGTGATCATACAATTTCAACATCGAGGAACCCATATACCAAAGACAACTTCACACAACTTTTTAGTCTGGTTTGCTTTTAAGTCACCATAATGGGCCTAGCTTTTGAAAATGAAAGTTAAGTGGTGATGTGCTAGATAAAGTGGCTTTATGGATCTTGGGCTCAAAACGTATCCACAATCTCCTGAATGTTGGCCAACCAGATCCTGGAAGGCCACCGTAAGACCAACAAATTTGAATGATAAATGCCACTGGAGGTCCAACCATTTTTTCTCTGGATTGAAGTCGGGCTTCCCATGAGCAACCCAGCTGGACAAATCTGTCAGCCAGTTCTGAGTAAGGCTGCATGGGGCCTTTTCTAACTTCCCAAATAATTGCCTGAGATTTTTCTCATTTTCTCCATATTTTTAATTGCTATATTTTAGCAAAATTATATGAGAATTGGTTAAAAAAAGCTTAGTATATTTCAGTGAGATTTGGAATGGATACTTCAAAAGACTTGCTATTTGCTTTGGTTTAGAGTATTATACAAACCTAGCCACTGCAATTTGTTACTCATGGCTTGTGGCTTAATATAATGCATGAACCTAGACATTTGTTATTTATTTATAAGCCATGGCTTTTAATTTGTATAAACCACTTCTATTACAAAGGGTATATCTAATCAAATTAACAATACAGTAAGGAAAAATCCTGACATTTCTTAGCATACTGTATAATACTGCCCTTAGCTGGATCCATTTTTTAATTCTGTAGCATTAAAAGAAGCAAATATTGAACAAGCTTTTTGAAACTAGTTATTTTACCTATTTTAAAAAATCTTTGTCGTATAATTTCTCCTATAACCTTCATATGAAAATTTGGCTGTCCTTTGTGTCACTAGTGAAGTCAAGGGCAACAAATGAAATGTAATCAGTATGTTCAGATACAGGATGAAGTACAACAAAGAAATATTACATAGAAAACATTTCCCAAGGGCCACTGAAAATTTCCTTGTACATGCAGAGCTAGATATTTCTTAAGTAAGCAACTGATATAATAACCCTACAAGAGACCAAAAAAAAAAAAAAGGAAATTAGGGTCTTAAGTTGAATGTGCAATACTGAATTAGTAATTATCTTGAATATAGGCTAATATTTGAAAATACCAAGGTCAAGTAAAAGACAATAAATGTGCAGATTTCAAATTATTTTTACAATGGAAAAACATGAACTAACGTATATGCAAATATTTCTTGTGGACCAATATAAGAATATTCCACAAATATTTTTCATGATTTCACCATCACAAGAAATAATAATTGCAGGATTAAAGTACAATAAATAGCAAGCATACATCTCATTACACACAATATCAATATACCTCATTACACACTGCGAAAAGCAGAGACTTCTGAAAATCAAATCTCAATAAAAAATAGAGAACTAAACACACTATCTTATCCAGGAATTCCAGGTTTTATTATGGTTGTCACGATGCTCTTTTGTGAGCTGCCCAGGATTATGGTTCATAATAAATAAAATACCCAGAATATTTGATCTTTTTAAACATAATACTGGAATAAAAAAATACTGGAATAAAGTAATACTGGAATTTTTTTTTAAATGGCTATGGTGAATTCATTTCCATTCTGATAAAATGGTGCTGGAGATGTTTTTCTTCCATTCTACTTAAGTATTCTGAGTGCCCTCTTTGACCATGATGACAAAAAAACTGACTGCATTGTTTCAGCCCATTTGAAGTGGAAAATTGTAGTTATTTAAAAAAATCCCAATTCTCTTCAGAAAACTCATCTATGATAGGGCTCTATTCACTTTCCAGCTCTCATCTCTGATATTAAAGTTGTTTCTTTGTCATTAGAAGAATGGGCACTCTCACCTTACATAGGCTTTTTAATACAGCGGAATACCCTAAGATAATGAGCTTTCTTTAAAAAAATCACAGCATGTATTCCAAGAGGCGGAATAATTTTATGCATGTGTTTGTTATTAAATTTCAATGCAGCCCATCTCACCAATCAACTATTTTTGACTAGTTAAAACTGGAACAGCATTTATCCACTAAGCATGAGTCCTGACTATCAGAAAATGTAAGTTGCCATCAAGTTCTGCTAGATTGTTCGTCACATCCAGGTTGCTTTCTTTCAAAAAAGATGGAATTAATATAGATTTCTCCTAGGATGTTCCCCATCCTATCCCCAAGTCCTAGTCTGGTCTACATGCCTGAAGATCCTCTCCTTAAGACATATGAACTGCAGTTATATTTGCCCATTCTGCAAAAAGAAATATTTTGAATAATTATTTTTTCCTAACTCTGTCCATTTGGTTGCCCTTGTTTGTACTTTACTGGACCTGGTTTCCATCACAAAAATATCAATGCATGATGAGACAACGGATTTCTTCTATACCTGGCTTGCCACAAGCCTGAGTTTTGGGGATTGGTTATTTTGGAGTTGCCTGGTCCAAGGTCACCCAGGTCTGTGCCTCAGAGGGGACAAGAACCTGGATTTTCTCACACAACCCAGCACTTTACCCCCCTACACCATGCTGGGTTGCAGTGAATTTGAACACAAACATTTTAAATGATTTTATCTTTGATATGTCTGCTAATCATGTATACTCAATTGCTCATCAAAGATACATTTAAATAAGATATTAAGCATAATACTATGCATGTCTGATCAAAATTAAGTGCTATTGGGTATAGCAAACATATTTTAATACTAGGGTTTTACTTGTTTTGGCTAGCTGTACAGTATAACTTTACAGTTCTTCAGACATGTTCATGTTTAAGGCTTCAACATGTCTATGCTCAAAAAGACAGTACCAGCAGAATACCACTTGTTCAATCATAATCAAATACAATTTGTCTGCTGCTGGGGAGTTACAAATTGTACTTGGAATGTTCTAGAGAAGTTTCCACTTGAATGTGTGTTGACAGGAACACTTAAAACTACGTACATACAATGTATGCAGCTTATCAAGGGAAGCTGTTAATATTCTGTTTTGATAACACCTATTGTGTTGAAAGTATCACAAGTACTGAAAAATAAGTAACATCAAGCGAAAAGAACATTTGATGGCTATTAGCTTTCAATTAACCAATAAAATGCTTATCAAATTACTTTTAAAAAAAAGTGATTGTGGGCAGGTATGTGCTGTTATCAACTTTTGCTGGTGGTGGATGTAATCTGTATGACCTTCAGAGGAAAAAGGTATAAAGCAAAAATAGGGTTGCCAAATCCTTGTGTACCAGTGGAAGAGTTTGGTTTTTGCAGCTCCTAAATCTCAAGGCGGAAAATGGCAGCTTTACATGAAAAGAAGACCTGCAGCCAAAGAATGGAAAATTTTCAACGTTTTGTATGGAATCCAGACACAGGGCAGTTAATGGGAAGAACTTTGATTAACTGGGGTATGTGGCAACAAACATTTTTTTAAAGTCTGATTTTAGAACTTTTGGAACTTGTAAGACCAAAAATTAGTACTGAAAGCTGCTTTACAGAATATTGAAGTCAGTTACCCAAATATTATTAGTATTACTTATGGTAACTATTAAAGAATAATTCTGAGTCCATGCTAGCATTCCAATAAAGAGCAATAGAATTGGGATGGATCCAATGTCTCCTCAATCAGACTGGCTTTTAAATCTAATTTAGATTATAAAAGCACTGAAATTATGTTGCAAGGGCCAAGGTGAGGACCCATTGTATCCTCAGCTCTGTCTCACTGGGTTTCCAGTTGCTCTCTTTCAGTCTTTATCTCAGAAATTACCAGGCTGATTTATGCTCATTCTCAAAACTTCTTTATGGCCCCAAATACCCACAGAAACTAGACAACTGCTTTCTTGGAGATGAAGACAACTGGCTTTGAAAAACTTGAGCAGAATGAAACATTACTCTAAAAGGGCTCAGAATACAAAGAAACATATCACATTTTTTCTTTGATTTGGAAATATATACTAGGAATGCAAGGAGTGTGCATGTGTGCACGTGCATATGTAGGGAAAAGCTAGTTAAGAATGTGTCAAAGTTAGAATGGATGATCTAAACTCAAATATAGTTTGCATAGTATTAAAATATTTTTGTGCTTGCTTCTGGTTGCTTAGAGCTTTCCTTTTGACTTCCAATTAGTCCAATTTCTTTTTTATACCTTATTCACCAATATATTATTCCTTAAGGAGACATTTAATTGGTTTGAGAAGCCTCAGCAGGCTATTTGATAATGTACCACATGTATAAACTTTTATGCACCTGTTACTTGTAGAATTTCTTTCCTCTCTTTAGAATTCAACAGCTGTCACGTTTTAAAATGTATTAATTTCCAAAATAAGCATTAACTAATAAACTTGATCAAACTATAGCTTGAAATTTGGAGATTTTCAAAACTTAAAAAGTGTTGAAAGGAACTGAACACTTTCAATTATACAGCATGGTTCTGATCACCCTGTTTGGTCATGAGGGTGAAGTAGCCCTGATGTTCTAGCATCCACATTCTTTCCACTCTCATTTAGCTGCAGGAATTCCAGTGCTGAGAGCATTTTGAGCAGTAAAATTTCAGTATCTTGATGACATGCAGTAATTTGTTTGAATTAAATTATTGAGCCAGTTTAATGCACATGCCTTTATTTTTAAAGTCTATTTTTATTTCTTTCTTACAGTATGGATTAGTCTTTATTATGTTGCATTCTATGTGGTATTGACTGGACTATTCACACTTTCTATCTATTCTTTAATGAAGACAATTAATCCTTATACACCAGACTATCAAGATCGATTAAAATCACCAGGTATTTTTTTTTACATTTCTTCTCATTTTGTTATTAAACCCATATAATCCAAAATTATTTATAAGCTTATCAAAATTTATGGGAAAACACTATGAAACAGAATTTAAAATTGCTCTTCAAACTATTGTCAACTGATGGTTAAAATCTGATAGATCCAACTCCATCTCAAATAATCTTGCTTCCGAGCAGAAATGTATATAAAAGTTCCATCAAGTATCTTGTATAAGTACTGTTTATCAAAAGTATTTATTCTTCATTCTAGAATGGTTTAACAGGAATAAATAGACCACACTGTAGAACAAGGGTCTTCAAACTTGCCAAGTTTAAGACTTGTGAACTTCAACTCCCAGAATTCCTGAGTGAACATGACTGGAGGAGGAATTCTGAGAGTTGAAGTCCACAAGTCTTAGAGCTGTCAAATTTGAAGACCCCCGCTGTAGAATAATAAAACCAACACCTTAAATGCAGGAAAAAAAAAACAAGCAAAAAGCTGCATTTTTACCACTTTGATCAATGTATGAGTTGTTTGGTATTAAAAAAAGTTGCAAATAATGAATTTTACAAAATGAAAGTTAATGCTATCATATGTAGTGAGGGGTAAAGTATAATTAAATAAACAATTGCGTTTTTATTAAACTTTAAGCCTTATATTCCTTAAGACTACTTTGCTCAAAGAAAAAATACCAGTAGCAGGTTTACGGCAAAATACAATGCAATTTGAGAATATCGTTTTCTCTGCATCTAAAGACTGCTAAAATATATTTTGCATTTAAATTTTACTTTATGCTACATTTTGTGAAAAAGACTTGATAAATAAGCTGTAATTTTTATATTTTTCTTCTTCTATTTTTGATTTATCATTAAAGGAGTGACATTACGACCAAATGTATATGGAGAAAAAGGAATGGAAATTTATTATAACATTTTTCAGAACTCCTCCTATGCTGGTTATGTTGGGATACTTAAGAAATTTCTTTCAGGTAATGGTGGAACAGTGGTAGGCAAATAATTTAGGACCGTGTAGAAGTTCTATTGAAAAATGGAATATTACAGAGAAAAGGAAAACAGAAACTTGAAAATGAAATACAGGTTAAGTTGAATTCCAATTAACAAAGTATTTGATGCTAAAACTTTATCAAATATTCCTACTAAAAAAACGGAACAGAATATTAGGTCTTCATCTTTTGACATAGTGGCACTTTGGTAGAGAAAACAATTTTGACTACCCAAAAAAGAGTAAACAATTGCAATTGAAAGAATTACTGAAGATTTAAAAAATTATTCTTTTGTAAACCAGAAAATCAATTTTCATCTTGCATTTTACTATAGTTTATGATCATATATTATCTGTAAGTGAAAAGTCAACTTTGTGTTATAACTTCATCATAAGTTCTATGCACATTGGATCATTTCAGGAGGAAAACATGTATCATATGAGCACGAGTGCTCATACAATTTTAAATATTGACTTCTTCTGCCTACACAGATTTCTTTATCAAAGTGCACGGTAGAAGAAAAACACTATTTTTTTTAGTTATTCTGTGTACATTGAAAAATTTCCACTACTTTTCCTTTTATTTGTCCTAAACAGATGGGATTACTCTGAAATTTTGTATTTGTCTTGGGCTCATATTCTGAAAATTCCACAATTGTTCACAAAATACAAAGCTACCAGTAGAATAAAAATGTACAATTCAACAATAATAAACAAGTATCAGCATATTAGTGTAACATTCTATAATCTGGAAATATTGTGATTATGATTACTATGCTAAGCAAGGAATACCAATTGTAATCCCAGACGTCTGGAGAGCACAGATTTGGAAAGCTGCAATGGAGTATAATGTAAACTATACTGCAATGGAGTATAATGTATAAACTATCTTTAACCAGCATTTTCAAAGTTTCCTTTCACGAAAGTGGCTTACCACATCAAATTTACTGCAAGGAAGATCCATAACATAAGAGTTCACTTCTCCAATATACAGTTCCTTTGAACTAATTTAAGAGGCATCTCATTTTGGCTAGAATGATATGAGAAGCAATGATGTAGCACCATACAAACCAGATTATTATGTCTTGCTTAGAATTACACTTGAGTCTGTCCATTTTGATTTAGTTGGGACCCAAGAAATACTTGACAGCTGTTTCCAATCTGACTTACCTTTCCCATCTGGCAAGACATAATTAGGCCACTGTTACATAAAATAACTGAAATGTATAAGAAGTTACAGAAGCTTAGGAAACATTACAAGGCAAGAACAAGCACTTTTTGAATTATATAAAGTACGTATTATTTCTTTCTACCTGCAATAGAAAATGTTTATTTTTCTTCTACTTTCTCACTAGCATACAATGAAACTATGCAAGAAGACAATGAAAACTGTAGTCAGGAAAATTATTACTACCAAAAGACATTTGATGCTCCAAATAATGAAAAACACTCTTGTAAATTTACAAGAGATATGCTTGAAAACTGCTCTGGTTTGACGGATACCAAATTTGGTTTTCCTGAAGGAAGGCCATGCTTAATAATAAAGATGAACAGAGTAAGTATAATACCAGATGTGAAAAGCATAATTTAACACCAATTTAATAGGAAAGAAAATTTTTCTGACAGATGCTTTATTATTTTCTGCATTATGTTCTGCAAAGGATTACAAAAATATTGTTAGAACATAAACCTGCAAATGAGGGAAGATTGAATATGCTCAATTTTAATAATTAATTATCCTGACACTCAAATTTTGTATTTGACAAATTCTGGAGTCAGATACATAGAAAAAGCAAAGTACTAAGATCAGTTGTAGCAGTCACAAAAGGATGGCTTACAAAAATCTTGTTTGGTAGACATAAACATTTAATTTCTACAGCCACCTAATGCCTACATTTGGTTTATTAACATTAACTTATGAGACTTTTAATAAGGAAATTATATTGCAGATTATCAATTTTCTTCCTGGCAATGGGACTGCCCCCAAAGTGAACTGCACAACTACCGTAAGTATGTATTGTGATATTCAAATCTTTTAGGCATCACACATTTTTCATCTTCTGCCTTTGCTCCATATTTTTCACCCATCTGCTTTCCCCTCAAGGACGTTTCAATGGTTATTTTGAAACCTTTCATGCTCCTCCACAAAATTAGTAAAATAATGCAATCTCAATAACCACATACTTAAATTGTTAAGTAAAACAAATCTTGCCCCCTGAGGTTTGCAGAAATTGTACGATGACATGTATTATGCAGATTTCACTGATACACTATTAAGATGTTCACTTTTATATGATTAAACCTCCAAATGAAACCAATTAAACTCACACATTTAAGGGAAAGTATGATTATACTGCTATATGGTATACTTACATACTATGTGATAATATACATTGAGTCTCAGTTATCTGATAGCAGCACTAATACTTATCCTATTTATGATCTGCTGAAGGATGACAGCTCATTTGAAGTAGCATATTATCCGGCAAATGGAACTTTTAGCCTTCACTACTTCCCTTACTATGGACTCAAGGCACAGGTATGCTTCCCCCCTCTTCATTTTTTTTTTTTTGATAGGATTGTTGCATATATTTTAGCTTTATTAACATTTGTCATATGTATTTCCATCTCAGCCTAGCTACACTAATCCACTGGTAGCAGTGAAACTTCTCAACTTTACGTACAACAAAATACTACACATAGTATGCAGAGTAGTTGGCGTTGGAATTACTTCAAATAACCCACATGATCCATATGAAGGAAAAGTAGAATTCAAACTTCGGATACAAAATTAATCAAAGTTTATAAAAACTGCATTGAGAATGTGTGTGCTATGTAGCTTTGTATGATTATTTGTATGATTTCAATTTGAAGTGTACAGTTTATAGCAAAATTAGTCACAACTTTAATAATCAATTGTATAAAGTTTGTTTTTATTATCTAGTATGCTTAATCAGAAATGTTAATTGGATTTTTCCACACTGGAGAATACCAAATATATACTTGGTTTACTGCATGTTTGGCAATGGGATAGGATTCCACTGAAATATGTGCAAAGTTATAATAATACGCAACTATTTATATATTGAAAAATATTAAACATAATAAATTACCTCTGGAATGATATTTATAATAAATTGGGCAGGAAGAAAAACACTGCTTTGCATCTCAACATATTTCAATATGAAAATAAGAACTATTGTATGAAAGAAACATATAAACAAAAGCTTGTGAATCGAATATAGCTCCTGAGCCTCTTTGTGACCCTAGAAACTCCAAAACATTGTTGGTAAATTTGGGCAGTAAACTGAACCTGGGAAGGATGATCTTGTTCTTGATTGGAAAAGAAAGCTAACTAATTCACTTGATGATATCAGGGTACCCTGGAAGAAAATCTACAATGCTTCAGTGCCAAACTGCCAGCAACAACTTAGTAACTCAAACAAACCAAACCAAAACAGACCTTAAATGTGAAAAGGGTGCATACTCTGATCTAAAAATATCTTATGTATTTTTTTTACTGTTGTTTAATTGTATTAGTGTTATTTTAGAAATTACTTATTTGCTTTCAGAGACCTCAGTGGAATTTTAAATTGAATGACTTAGTATATTTTAAAGTAGACTTGATGCAATTGTGTTGGACAAGTTACTTTAAAGCACCTAGATTATCTTAATATGAAGACATTTTAATAATTGAAACACACACAAACATAGCCACTTATCTGTATATAAAGTACATGTATTGAGCCAGACCATCTTCATAATGAATCTTCAATGAATTCACCACCTGCATGACGGTGATAGGTAGGTAAGTGGAAATAATGCTTATGGGGTATTAAAAAGAACTTATTGAAATGAATTAAGGATGAGGAGCACGAATGGGGTAACACCAGAATTGGTGCCATAAGGGAAAGCCCAGGACATTGCAACCATCTGTGACATTCGGTAATGAAGATGTCCATCAAAATTCTGTTGATGCATCTGGCTACTGCTTTTACACCATGGGGATAAAACCAATCTACTATATCAATGTATAACAGCAAAATGTAAAAAGGCATTTAGAGTTGTTGATACTTGCATTTAACATGCTTTTAAATTATCAGCTTAGTAAAATGTTTCCTCTACTGAAGAGGAACTCAAGTATCACTAAAATTCCATATGCAAATGGAAAGCATGTTCATACATATAGGAGAATCAGTTCTTTGCATATCTTAATAATGAACTTGAGAATCTTCTAAGGCTCATGGTAGTAAGAATAATGGAAAACAGTACAATGGGGAAAAAGATTTGTGATGTAGTTCTGTGTACCATTAGAGACTCAATTCTTGCTGTACATAAGGATTTCAAATCATTGGACTGGGTTTACTTCTTATAGTTTACTTACTATTTGTTTACTTCTTAAACAAATCCCAAAATAAGAAAGTGAAGGCTTATCTGACGTAACATACAGTACTTAGAATAGCCAACATTTCATACATAAAATGAAGTATTTTACACTGATAGAATATACAAAGTCCCACATTATTTTGTCTTATTTGATTCTTAATCCCCAACATTGACTGTATCAATGCGCCTATAGACACTTCCTTGGTAGCTAGCAGGCTTCAGTATTATCTGATTTTATTTTTTGAGTTCCAAGTAAAGAATTAAGTTTTTTTAATTTAAAAATGTAATAGCAAACTAGCCTGCTGCAAAGCACCAGCCTCAAGCTGAATATTTATTCTCAAGAAATAAAATATATACAAAGAGGAACTGTTGAAACAGTCTTTGTGCCTCTACTGTGAGATAACAGGAAACAAAAGACAAGAGGTAAATTAAGATGGACAACTGGGAAACTGAAAGATGCATTTTGGAACAACTTATCAGTTTTATTTGAATAAAAGTGTATTTTTTTAATGACTTGTCACATAGCGACAGATATTTCTAGGAGAATCCTGAATTAATCACTTACATATTTGTAGGGTGAATGCAGTCTCCCAAGAATTTAGCAATCATCAGTGCATGCTGTTGCCTCTCTATCATCTAGATATAGGTATAAATAACTCCCTACTTACCCTTTAAAAGAGCTCTGAGACTCTTCCATACTGAAGAACCAGATGATAAGTCAAACACAACAAAGCAGAAGGTGAAAATAATCTTGATTAGAGAAACAAAGTATTTGTTAAAAATGCCCACGCGTGTTTTATTAATAAAAACTAATAGTGCCACAATTAAACAAGTAAAACAAACTGCTTATATGCCATAAAATATTACAGAAAGTTTATTTATGTTTCAGTAAAAAGACTACTGTCTTAGAACAGGCAGCTGACAGTATTTGTGCAGTTAATTCTGTGTAAATAAATTTAAAAAGACTACCACCTGTCCTGATTTTTTTTTTATAAAAAATGAAGTATTAAAAGTGATTGACAAGTTTTGAGTTAAACATAAAACATTCTCTATATTTAATTTCAACTTTATAATAGATTACTGGAAGATGTTTATGAAACAAATATAAACCATTTGTTTCAGTACACGTCTTTTATACCATAGACTTCTAAGTATGTAAACAACTATGTAACAAATTGTTTTCAAAATCTGCCTGTAAGAAATCAGACAAATTTTTATCATTAAGCAAAACTCATTCTAACCTTTCAAGACATTTACACAGCTATACCAGCCTGGCAGTAAACATTTGCCCCCAAATTATAACTCATATTTCTAACTTCAGCAAACATAATATATAGAATTTGATGGGCTTACAATGATCAGTATAATTTTAAAAAGGGAAATAAATTCATACAATTTCTGCAAACTAACATTTTAAAAGATCCTTTTGTTTGATTCTTTGGGTATGGCATGATCAGCAAAATATAGTATAACATCTGATTGCTATGCATCAGTACGATGTCACCTAAATGCAATCTAAATAAAATGCCATTCATGTATGCATTTTGACAGGTGGACAGATTTTATTTTCCATTAAATGTGGCTACATTTCAAACTTTGTGACAACATTTAGGGGCAAAATGCATTTTCCTTCAAGTTAAAAATCCTAAGCAAAAGTAAATAAAAGTTCTGCATTAACATACTGGTATTAACACACACATCCTCATCACATGTAAAAAAATCTACATAAAAAACAAACAATCTTTACTTTATTGGAGGTGCAATTTTCTAAATTCAGACTCTTACCAGTATCTTCTTGATGGGACAATTTTTGACAATCTCTTCCTAGAATTTATTCCTGCCGCTTGCTGAATTTTAAAAATAAAAAAGTCTACAGGCAAAAAGTATCAGTCATCATCATCATTTTCATTAAATTCATCATCATCGTCATCGTCATCATCCCCTACATAAGACACTGGTGTCTCTACTCTGGAGCCGCTGTATTGAGATCCATTGGAACTTGTAGCCAACATTCCATCTCCTCCATTTGAGTAGTCACTGCAAAATGAGCAAAGTGCATCAATCTTTCGATTCCACCCTCCATCCCAATTAATGTTTAGCCAGGAGTAAGGTAACTGCAGACTCCTAAGGCCAAATACAAAAAAATACTGTATACAAATCAATTATAAATTATTATTAAATGAATTATAAATTAATGGAATTCAATGTAGATAAAAGTAAGGCTTTACACTTAGGTCAAACCTGGCTCAATGCCAGCAATTGTGAGAGTTCTAGTGGATAATCACTTAAATATGAGCCAACAGTGTGCAGCGGCAACCAAAAAAACCAATGTAATCCTGGGCTGCATTAATAGAGTGATCAAGATCATGAGAAGTATTAGTACTACTTTACAAAGCCTTTGTACAGCCACACCTGGGAGCACTGCATCCAGTTTTGGTTGCTATAATATAAAAAAAAGGTTGAGATTCTGGAAAGAGTGCAGAAAAGAGCAACAAAGATTAGGGGGATGAGGACAAATGAAGATCAACTGCTGGAATTAGATATGACCAGTCCAGGTCATATCAGGTATGATAGCAGAGTTCTGGTATCTGAGGGGTTGTCCCAAAGATGAGGGAAAAAAACTATTTACCAAAGCAGCAGAAGGCAAATGTCATGCCCCTGTCGGAGTCTGAATCTGAGGAGGAAGCCGAACAGCTGACCGGAAGTGGGACTCAGTTGGCTGTGGAGGAAACTGGGGAAGGACAAAGTCTGGCTGGGCAGAGCAGGGGAGAGGTAGAACAAGGAAGAGGGAATTCAGAGGAAGATCCAGGCTCACCCCCTCTTCATCCTAGGACACGCAGAGAGGAACAGAGAAGAGAGCAACATGGATTGCGTGGCTTACGGAGGAGGAAAGGAACTTGATTCCCTTCATTGGCCACAGCTGGGAAGGCAGTTTATGCAGCAACTGCTGGGAGCAAACGTGACTTTATCTTGGGTTGTTGTTGCTTATCTGTGTTCCTGGTATCTTCCCAACCGTGAGTTTTGCTGTGCCTTCAAGTCTGGAATTCTTGCTCCTACCCTGCCAAATTAATTACCCCAGTTTGGCTTGATTGGACTTGACCATGTTTTGGACTTAATTCTCTGCAGTCAAAGGCTGTTTCTGTGAGTTTTTTTCTCCAGCCAGAAGGTAACCTGGACATTGGGGGCAAAGCTGGAGCTAATAAAGGGACTCTTATTATCTGATGTGTTGCTTTTGTGCCATGCCCCGGGTCATCACAAGACAAGAACCAATGGATGGAAACTCATCAAGGAGAGAAGCAGCTGAGAACTAAGGAGAAATTTCCTAACGGTGAGAACAACCAGTGGAATGCCTTGACTTCAGAAGTTGTGGGTGTCCCACCACTGAAGGTTTTCAAGAAGAGACTGGACAGCCACTTGTCAGAAATGGTATGGACTCTCCTGCTCATGCAGGGAGTTGGGCTAGAAGACCTCCAAGATCCCTTCCAGCTCTTATTCTACGTTCTATATTCTAGTTACAGTTACCTAGGTACCTTAACACCTATACTGAAAGTCTTTAGTGCAAAATTAATTCCAATGCTGACCTTGGGCATGGAACTGTGGGGGCTCTATAAAACCTACTTCAGTGGCAAAATGGTCAATTTTGGCACCCAAAAAGGAAAATTTCTTAAGATGCCTTTTGATAAGCAGGTATATTAAAGTTTCCTAGGTATCTACTGAGATCACTTTTTAATTAAATAAAAAAATAATTTAATGATTAACAATTTTAAAAAATGGTATAGTTTTACAATTTAGCAGATGACACTGGGTCTATGAACTAGTTTTTAAACATAAAACTCAATCTTATCTTACCTGTTGGAAAATCTTGTCCCATTTGAAGCTGAACCTGATGAAGATGAGACATATACATTGCTGATTGATCCCTGAGCCATTTCTGTAACACAAAATAACATCATGAATTAGATAGCAGTCATTCTATAGCATATGTAGCTGCAATTCAATAAAACCTCCACTGAATATAGTTTACATATATAGCACTTCAAACTTTCATATTTAAAGTCCCATCAACTGCTGTATTAGTAAATCTGGGTTCTACCTTGATAGAACCAAACATCTAATCTTTTTGAGATTTTATTTAATATAGTATTTTTGTTAAATAAGGATGGGAAAGCTTATAACTATTTGTAGACCCATTATGTAAGGGGAGGATAACCTATAAATTTTTTTATTTACTTTTCAGCATCCAGCCAGGGTGACTTTTTAATGTTCAATGTTAGATATATTGGACATTTGAGTTTTTTTCTTTACATAAAAATTTCTCCCCCTCATTGTTAGTGTTCAATATTTATTTATCTGTTTTGTATTTTATTCTTGTTGGTAAAAGAAATAAATTAATAAAAATAATTTACACTATTTAAATACAGTGAGCACCAGATAAATACGTGTTATACTAATGCAAATCAAATGTATTGATTATTTAGTATATTGCAATATTTTCTAATGTTTTCTGAACATCCTGTTACAGATTTATTATGGATAGCAAAGCAGGAGATAAAATATATATTATGTATCCTGTGGCTGCTTATACCATCTCAACTATTAATATAGCCCAGCAACAACTGAAGGTGTTTTGCTAACAGCAAAGTGGGTTATGTTTACGTTATATTGCACTGTTTATCATAGCTGTGTTAAATTCCAATAGCAGCTTATTTTGTTCTGAAGTTTTATTTCAAAATGTTAAAAACGTTAATTTCATTTAACTTTACCTGTCACATATGGTTCAAGAGCTTTAGGAACCAAGCTCCTTGCGTTTTTTAGATCTTCTGCTGAGCAACTTCCAGATTCTAGTCCAAATGCCATTCCCATTCGCTTCAATACTTCAATATCATCATGTATTTCAAATGCATTATCAAAATTAAATAGATATTCAAACCTAAAAGAAACCAATAGAAGTTGGCCAATATGTTATATACAGATCTCAATATCTTTCTTCAAAATCCTCTTCTCCACTAAAATGTAAAACTTGAAAATGTAGCATGCTTAAGATAGTATTATGCTGCTGAAATGTTTTTATTTTAGAAGATCTGTATTTTTAATGGTCTTTTACCACCTTTTAGTACAATATAAACCTATACTGATAATTAGGTGTCAAAATTTTCAACTTTCAATAACATTAGGGGTGTTCAAAAGTTGTGACATGCCCTAGGGATTGTAAAGATATTTGTAAATATAATGTAGATGAGCTTGATAAATAACTACATAAATATCATAACTTTTTAACATTTTGTTTATTTCATTTGAATCATACCTATAACACAGTGCTTCAAAAGCAGCTACAGTTTACAGAACGGTGTAGTTTTCTACTGAGAAACAGAATAATATATATGAAAATTGAAGAAAGAGACTGAGGGGCTAATTCTGTCTGTTAAGCTTAGCTGCTAGTCATGTCCAATGATGATGCTTTGTTTTATATGGTAATTACAAGCCAGAGTGCAACACTGACTTGTAACCAGTTTGCAACACTGATGCGATATCTTACTGGATGCACCAATCTGAGATCACTATGGTGAGCAGGCAAAGACAATAAATTCTCTATGTCAGTGGTCACCCCACACTGAAGTAAAAGAGGTTTGAAAATTTATTGAGTCCTGAACACTGTAAAAGGCCAACTTAATAATGACATTGACAAGTATATCTGTATCATATTGAATAGAGCACCTGTATTAAGATTAAGAATATCCATGATATAGGAAAATAATAAAAATGTCATGAATCGTAAGTACCACTAGTATTCACAGAAAAATAAACTTAAGTTAACTGTTAAGGCAAATCAACATTATTTAAAAGAAAAGGAAAAATTCTAATTTAGGAAACCATATAAAATTATATTACCAAGAAATAAGCATTCAGTTCTTTAGAAGAATTGGATACAGGTTCCCATCTTTTTGATTACCCCCTGAATTTAGAAAAAAAGTCTGACTTAGCTCAGATAAGGAATTCTATAGGTAGCCCCGACTTACTATATCATTTAGCAATCGAAGTTATGATTGCTTTGCAACCAATCCACACTTTTATGACTGTCACAGGAACCTATGATCGTATGTTTACTATTTGTATGCTTTCCAAACGGCTGGCTACAAAAATTATTCCTAAAATTCAATTAGAATCCATCTTCTTGTGACTTGGATACATCTTCTTTTTGTATTGTTTAGTAATTGTAAACAAGTGTTAAATCTTCTGTGCAACATTCTTTTGTGTATATGAATAATACAGGGAATCCCCAAGTTACCAGCATTCCCTTAGCGAACGTTTGAAGTTACGTGATACTGCCCCTCCAGTGTTTGCAAAAAAGGCCAGTAACCACAAATCTTGCAAAACTACGGCAGTTGTTCGCCCTTATGAACAACCAGAGGCTCTGCAATGTTTGTCCTGCATGTTGCAGACAGACATGGGGTGTCCCACTGGATCTGGCCCCCGAATGCTCCATTTTGGCCTTCAATGGGCTGGGGGAGGCCCACAGAAGGCCAAATGGAGCATCAGAGGGCTGGAAACAACCCTCAGAAGCTCCATTTCAGCTGGCAACCTGCCAGACGAAGCCTGTGCCCAAATGGAACTGCAGAGGGGTACACAGGGCTGAGAGGCTAGAGAGAAGACTGCTTGTTGGATCTTTACAAGATAAGTGACCCAGTGCAGTAGGTGGGAGGAAGCAATTGTGGGGAGCATGAGGTATTTCAGTGGGTCGAGCAGACCCTGGTCTTAGGCAAATGGCCTGTTTCATCAGTAGGCCCTTCCATGGCCTTCCCCACCCTGAAATACCTCATGTGCACTTAATGAGCCTCACATTCAATTAGTGAATGTGTGGGCAAAAGGAGGGGGTAATCCTGTTCAAGGCAAAGGCTCACTCTCACGAATCCTTGGGTTACGAATGGAATGGGCAGCCTTCATTACATTTGAAACTCAATGACTACTTGTACTTTGTTCCCCCTCAGTCTTGTCAAGCTGAACATTACTGTTCTGACATTATTTCTTTTTGGTCTCAGTTTCTATCTGCTGAACATTTTCTATGCTTCAACATTTTCAACTGGAAATGGTCTGCAGTTGGGTTCAGGATGAAAAACATGGCATGTACATTTCCCTGTTGACTTCAAAAAAGAAAAAGGGCAATACCACGTACAACAAATTACAAAGCCTGGTAAGACTGTAGAATATCATATCAAGATGTATGGTACACATCAGTGGTGGTACTCTACTGGTTTGGACCAGGGGTGGGATCTGACCGGTGTAACTACCGGTTCAGTGGCTACATGTCATGCATGCATGCACGCTGTGCGTGCAATTAACAAACTGCTGAGATACCCGGACAGCTGAGCAGCGCTGCACACAGGTGCGCAGTGCTTGAAAAAGCACTTTTTTCCTGCTTTTTCAACCGCAACTGTGCCACGCAAAGCAGCTGAGGGTGAAAAAGCAGGAAATAAAGGACAGGTAAGAGCCTAGGCAGGAGAGGGGGCCAAAACAGCAGCAGACACAGAACCGGTTGCTGTTCTTCTTCTGCTCTTCAGAGCTACTGATTCTACAGAGCTGGAGAATCGCACCCCTGGTTTGGCCCGGTTCTGGCATACCAGTAGTGCCGAAGATTGGTCTGAGAAGCTGCTAGAGTTGCTATTGGGCCCACCTGCCCGCTGGGGCTCCCATACTGACCTTTATTCCCTGCTTTTGAAGTGCAGCTGCGTTGTGCGGCACAGCAGATTGCTGCGCGTCAGCTGCTGAAGCGACAGGGAGAGTGCAGGATTGCAGGTGGTGAGTAGGAAAGCCCCTGCGCAAAGTGTTTGGCATGTGCGTGTGCCCAAGGTGTGTGTGCTCATCAAGCCACGCCCACCAAACCAGTGGTAAACTATTTTGAAACGCACCACTGGTATACATGTATGTTTTCTTTAGTACACGATCCAGTGCATTACCTGCTTTTTTAAAATCATCTGTTGCCCTGAAATTCTTTAACTTGAGTCTTAGACATTGACAAAGATCTGTAGAATGTAGTGATACATTCTGCTGAAGGGCAATAATTTCTACAATGGTTTCTGTTAAACTCTTCTGAATTTTGCATTGTATTAACCTGTTACTTAATAATCAAAGGTGTAAATACTGAAGATTTTGGTAATGCTATGAATGTCATGTTCACACAAACAAAATACTGTTTCATTAGGTAAGCTTGATAATCTACTCTGAGACAAGACACTTCAGGAAAAAAACACTTTCTGGTCAAGCTTCCTCCCAATCTGGCACTGGAAAGCACATCTGAAAATTATTCAGATGGGGTAGAAACTGAAGATGAATTCTCCTTATTTAGCTCTGAGTGATTATGCACCTGCAAGATCAACATCATTAGATCAGCATCTTTCAATGTATTGAACCAGAGGATCTGCTATGGATTGACATTGAGACATTTGCTCAATGTAAATTCGGGCTTCTAGGTGCAATTATAATCACCAAACCTTGCTGCCAAGAGAACAGGAGTCCCATGGGTCAGGGAATGGCTGACAATGTTGAGGCACAAGAGGATTTTTGGAGACAAGGGCCATGACTGAACCCAGAAAGTCTATTTCTGGCTAGATCCAATATATTCAGAGAGTAAAGCTCATTATGGCAATGGAAAAAACAAAGCACAGTATTGTATAAGAGTTGTACCTGAAAATTAGAGACAGAATGGACTCTAGACAAGATTTGCTACGAATTGCAGGAAAATATGTAGACTGGTTCAAAACTGAGAATGCAACTGCATGGCAATTGGTTCTGAATTTCTTTCCCAGAGACTGAGTCTATAATCTGATCACTCCCAAATAGTAGTCTTTTAGCAAAAATAGTATAGGAAATGGTAAAAGACATCAACTTTAATGGTGCTATCAGTAAAACAAAGCCTGAAGAGTTTAATAATGAAAAAGCAGTCAATTTATGCTTCTTTTCCTTTTATGGTGCTGATATTGGTGGTTTTACTGGTGTCAGCGCTCCAGAATCAGAAGCAGTTTGTGTTTACAACACATCAAACAATGCCCTCAATCACATAGGCAATGCAGCTTTATAAGAAAACTCTAAACCATAAATGTGCAAAGCTACAAACATGCAGTGGCTGGAAGATGGGAGTATCTATAAAGCACACCTGAAGCACATCAAACAGGTCACCCAAACTTGTTTGCTAGGGAGGGGAGGCAGTTAGGGCATGTTTTATTACATGCCTTTAACTCAAGCAGGTCAGGTTTCAGAGATGTTGTTATACTATGGGTAAAACATCAGAGAACCACACCAAAGATTTTTCTTAAAACTGAGAATTGGGTGGGATTATTATCATTATGAAATCAGGTTCAAGGTGACTTTGAGTAGCTCTTTTTTCATGCAAGGCAGGTCTCAGGGAACAGGTGTAGCTTAGCCAAAACCCCAAAGTTCATATAGGTAGCCCTTAGCAACTGCCCTATTTAGTGACTATTCAAAGTTACAATGTTCTGGAAAAGTAACTTTACAACCACTCTTGCTCTTACAACCACTGCAGTGATCAACATTTGGATGCTTTGCAACCAAGCAGCACAACTAAATGAGAATTGACTCAGTCATCATTATATGTTTTGCTTAGCAAAACAATTGAATTGGCCTCAATTGTGGTCATTAAATTAAACTATGGAGAATAAATCATGCCCTGTACTTCAAAGTATGAAGACTCCCCAAGCCTCATCATCTTTTTTGTATCATGGAGACCAGAACTGAACACAGTATTCCAAATGTGGTCTCTCTAGGGTGATGCTATCACTTCTTGTGATCTTGCTGCTCTCCATTGATGCAGTCTAGGATAGTGTTCCTTTTGGCAACCATAGCACACTACTGACTCATACTTAAGTGGTGGTCCACTAGGACAACTAAATCCCTCTCATAGTTACTACTGTTGAGCCAAATACCACCTATTTCATACCTGTGCCTTTGGTTTTTCCTACCCAAGTGCTCTTCCTGGTCTTGTGCTTGACAACTTTCACACAACTTTGTCCTGATTTCTAGTTCATCCAACTACAACCTACTAGTCTGTACTCTTACAGAATGATGGTGAAGGGTCTTTATTACTGGAATTAAGTTACTGAAATCTTAAATGCGAATATCAAGTTTCCAGAGATTTTTCAATAACCTGATTTTCCTTGTTGAATTATGAGGTACATCCCATGTCAACCATAAACACTAAGAATGAAAGTGGTTCCTCAGGCAAGAAATAACTCTAGTACAGTTAGAAGGCAGACATGGTCTGCCAACGAAGAAACTTAGTATTCCAATATTTTATTTTCAATGTTAAGTTCAATCATTCCCCATGTAAACACAAACTACCTATCAACACAGCTAATTTTAAACACCTGAAGTCTAATGGGAACAAAATGACAGTAAAGTCTTTACTAATGATTCGTGTCCTCAGATACACCTCCCCTTATATAAATTAAAAAATACAGATAGAGAGGATATGATTGACATGGAAAATCAGTTTAAACTAACAATATCAGATTTATAACATTCAATCTCTCCATTCAACAAGACCTTATACTATATAAAATCAAAATAAATCATTTTTCTGGGTATTAGTAACTTACTTGTCATTAGAAATACTGCAATCAATTACAGTTTTCTTGCTGGTGTTCACTATGATAAATGGCAAGTGAATGACAGAATTAGAAGTTGGTGGTCTATTTGCTTGCTGCTCTGCATGACGATTTCGCTGAACAAGATTTTTGAAGGCAATTTGCTGTTAAGGATTTAAACGCACAAAGTTTGCTTTTTTAAGATTTGGGAAACAATTTGCATTATTCATCTCAATACCCTTAAGCAGGTTACAAGACCTGGTTGACCTTGGTGATCTCAGAAGTTAGGGAAATCTGGTCATGTGCAGTAGTAGATGGGGGACCACCTGAACATTTCAAGTTTGTTGACTAGATAGGGGAGTTGAAAAAAGGAAACTTTTTTTAAACTGGCAAACTATTTCTGCAATAATGCCAAGGAAATGGCTCAAATTTAAGTTATTACAGAGATGAAATCAACTCAAGGGCATTTTTATTTTTTATTATAGTCACTTGTATACCACTCATTCATCAAATTCCTTTTTAAAAAATATGAACCCGTGTATATTTGAGAATTGTTGAAATCATGAGATTGACATTGAATTAAGAGTTAAAGAGAAAACCTGAATTCAAATGTATATTTTCAAGATAACATCAGTTTAGTAGGAAGAAAAAGTACGCTACTGTTCTATACCTGAAGAATTAATTCTTGTAGTTGTGACTGTTTTTGCTTTATTCTTTCAAGTCTTCTCTGCCTCTCCACCTTAACAAAAAGAAAAATACTGCAATAACATTGAATTAATTAAAGATGTATACTTAGTATATTAGGACCTACTTTAAAGGTTTTACTCACCATTGAGTAACTAAAGCAGCATGGAACTAGTTTTGCATGTATAATAACATTTACAATTGTTCTAAAATAATAGAATCAGAGTATCAAACAACTCCAAACGCACATTTTTTTCAAAAGCAGTTTCAAACTAGCTGTGCAGAAATAAAACATCCAATATTTTAATTATGCTGAAACAGTTTTGTAAAATGTTACCTATTCAAACAGACTAAGAGTCAGCAATTTTCTTGGCATGGAACAGTTATTTCCAAAAATAAAGCAGACAGGTAGTCTTCATTTAATGACCCTAATTGGTACCAGAATTTCTATTGCTAAGCAATGTAATTATTAGATGAAACATCATGTAACTGCACTTCTTAGAGACAGAAGTTCTAGCTGTTAGGCCAGGAATATACCATTGCACTTCTCCTGCCCTGCTGCGCTCCTCTCCACTTCAACTCCCATCACCTGCCTACCTATCCATTTCTGCACTCTGTGGCTACTAATTCATGCCCAGTTGACCTTAACTATCTTCTTCCTCCTATTGTTGATAAGGCATGTCTGGCTGAAACAGTTGCTGGCCCTTTGTGAGGTGTCTGCACGGCCTTGTGAGGGCCTTGGAAAACTGCGAGCCAGGTATGCTTCATCAACAGTGGGAGGGTCAACTAGTGCAGGCGGGAGTGGGCAGGGCAAAAAGGCAGGGAGACCAATGGATAGTGGGAGTTGAAGTGCATACTGTCGTCATAAGATCATGTGACTCACTCAAATTTTAATCATGTTACTATGAGATGCTGCAATGGCAGTAACTTTGGGCCATAATTACTACTTAACGCTGTTGGAATGGTCACTGGATTACTACTTAACGCTGTTGGAATGGTTAAGCAAGGATTAATTATATCCCAAATTCTGAACCATTTGAACATACAGCAATATATTACTATCACTGAAATCCAAACAGTATATAAAATTCATTACATATATAATTGCATCATTACATATATAATTGCATCATGCAAAATACCTATTATGTAATCAGCCCATTCACAGAATGAAATATTAACTAGAATATATCAACTACTTCTATTATATGTATTTATCCTGTATTTCAAATACATCTGAGGAAAAATAAACCACAAACCTATACATCAGTTCTTGTTCTTGTCTTGTGTTAATTTCCAGTACATTAAGAGAGTCCTTTTAACAATTTCCTCCATATTTTTAGGTTTTTAAGTAAATTGAATTGTTTTTTCTTTTGCAGGATACAATTATGAAAGCAATGAAATCACAAAATACTACTTTGGATATGATTATTAAACAAGAAATCAACCATATGAAATCCATAAAGTAGATGGAAGTGTAAAAATCTAAGCAGTCATTCTATTTAATGAGAAAATCCATTAAGAAAAATATTAGAAATGGCCTATTTTCAACAAATTTTACCTCTAAATTCTGGCATTCCTGAGCTGAATTTGTAGGTAGACCAATCCATTTGATTTCTTTCTTTTCCTTGGAAATAATGTTCATGGCCATAAGAACATTTAAGGCATCATAGACCCGTCGCCTTATATTTTTCTGATCATAGGCCTGCTGTAAACATCATAAATTAAAGTATCAAAATACTTGCAGTTATACTACTTAGCAATATAATCTAGCACAAGGGTCTTCAAACTTGGCAAGTTTAAGGTTTGTGGAATTCACTCCCAGAATTCCTGAGCTAACGTGACTGGAGTAGGAATTCTGGGAATTGAAGTCCACAGGTCTTAAAGCTGCGAAGTTTGAAGACCCCTGATCTAGCAGATTAGACAGTCATTGCTATCATCAGTTAGTCCAACTGATGACACCCAGAGGAGCAATAAATGGGTATCCTTATTAAGTAAAAGGGAATTTTTATGAGAAGTCTGTATAATTCATTAAAAATTAATTTAAAATACAAATATACTTACTGATTCATTTGGTGAGATGTGAGCATCTGCAGTACTGAATTCTGCAACTAACTCATCTGCTACTTCATTGTATGAAGTAGTTCCTTTCCTCTGAACCTTCTCACAAACCTTCATAGAGAAGTGTCGTAAACCCTTGCCATTCTTCTCTCCCTTTTTGTTTCGTTTCCTACAAAAATACAATTAGTTATAGGTACACAGCTCCCTAATCCATTTATAGCTCCATACATAAGTGTTACATATTTTATTTTTTAAACAGATCCTGAACCATTCGCTTCATTTAGTTTCAGTATACGTGACCAGTTTATTTACACAATCACGACCAAACACATCTACAGATAAAAAAGAATCAAAGAAAATAAATATATTTTATGACTCAAAACATAAAACATATGCTTTTATAGAAAAAAAGCTAGTCTAAACTAAAGAAGTATATGTTATATCAACACCCTGTACCATAATATACTAGGGAAAAGAATAACTGCTGCTTGAGAGCTTATTATTTAGCAAATGCCAGATTGATTAAAAGTTTTGTTGTCAGAGTTAAACTGACTATTTTTGAAGCATATATTTTTATTTCCTACAAAACTATAATTCTAATTCTAATTTAACTGAAAGTTACTTACCCAGCAGACCAAGGTGAAGAATCTGCAGTCTGATTCTGTGATACAAAGTGTGTATTGGGAGTATGTGGACTTCCTACTAAAATAGTATTTGGGGCTGATGGTCTCTGTGGTGTACCAATAACCTACAATTAATAGAAAACTATTTAGAAAGAAAGAATTATTCATTATTCTGGTGTTATTAGCTTCCTTAAAAAAGAAACAATTGCAACTTAAATATTAGCCAAATTAAATATGTCTACCTTCAGGACAAAATCTTTAAAAAGCTTATTGTTTCTCTCCTTCAATATATTTATCAATACTGTAACTAATTATTACATGAATAATAATAATACCATATTTTTGTATTTTTTCACTTTGTTAAGCAATTAAGTATTGTTTTACAGTGTGTAACTTTGTGTTTTGTTCATTTTTTGTTTGTTTTTCTGTTATTATTTAAAGCTATAAAAATAAAATTTAAAAAATAAAAAAATCAAAGAGAAAATGGTGGTTTTTTATTATACTTTCAGTTCTGAATCCTGGTGTTAGGAAACAACTAGCCAGGTTTTGATTACCAACTGCTGCCATTAAAAAGCTCAAGATGTCAGAATCCTGGAATGAAATTGATAGGAAGTTCTTTTATCTTAATTTTATCTCTTTTGTTTTAGCAAATGTATAGGGTGATTTTATTCCTTTGAGCCTGTTTTATGTGCTGTCGTTTTAACACTACAGCTGCTTTCCTGCTCACTGGTGGCTAATAAATACAATTTCAGATATTACTTTAAGTAGTAAGTCATGTATCTACAGTACAACATGCAATGAAAAAAACTATTACACTATAATCCTAGTATAAACAGGATAATGGATTTTACTATATCAACTTAATTGTATGTTCAGATATAAATAAAATAAACCAGAACTGACAGGGCATTCATTTTGCCTTGACAATGTAAATGCTTTTTCTACAACTTTGGAATAAATATCCTTATGTCTCACGTGCCCAACACTTTTCCTATAAGCAGGTGTGTGCTATTCATGTATATATGTGTTAAAAATTATCATTACAATTTGATTAGTAGATCTTTCTGCAAAGCCTCTTACCACTTGTTGTGCAATGTTGACATTCGACGGTCCGAATGTTTTTGGCAAAAGCTGTTTTCCAAGTGTTGAGGGGTGAACAGCTACTAATGAAACAACACCTAAATGTCCACATAAAAAGTTAAAAAAGAATTAACAATTGACAATGCATGTAACTTCCTACCTTAAACTGAATACATGTAACAATAGAAACAAATACAAGATATCTGTTTTTAATATTGACCCAGTTTCAGATCTTGTTCCAATATACAGTACACCTCCATATAACCTTCCAAGTTCAAGTTAAATATTTTTGATGCTTGCAGGGATTTTTTTACAGTATTGTGTAAAAGCCTAGGATAAGATGTGGAATCCAATGTTATGTGAACGGATAATTACATACATAATAAGGTTTCCCTCTTACTTATCTTGTCCTTGTAATCTTTTTAAGTTTTTCAACTATTCTGAAGAGTTGGAGAACTATCTATAGTAGATTCTGAATTCCTAGGAAAAGGGATCATCAGCCACTACAATTTTAAAGTTTCCGCCTGGAAATATGAAATTAAGTGTTCACCTCAAATACTTAAGATCAAGCCGATAAAACTATTATTTCACTGTTTGAAATTAGAAAACTTAACAATCTATCTAAATAACCAACACAAATATAGATCAACTTTGTTTCAACTTAATATTAAGATTAAATGAAAATGGATGAGAATCTCTGTATTTACAATTTAGCAATTTTTCTGTTTTGGTAAGACTTCAGTGTCAAAACTTTCTAATCCTACTAAAGAAAGTTGCATTTTTACTGTATTTTCTAATTTAACTTGGAAGTCTGAATTTTGAACATCCAATGTATATACAAATACTGCCACCCTGTGGTCAAAAACTTTTTTAAAATAATGTTATCTGATCAAATTCCTAAAAAAAAATTAATTTACTTAGCAAGATATAAAATACTTCCAATTTGGAGAATGAAGAGGATAGTCATTTTTATGCACAATTTGCACATCTGAGGTTATTTGTTCACTGCCCAACACTAGGTATGTATCTAAAATTAATCTGAATTATAATCTGTTACATTCAAAGATAAAGAATATGAAAATCTAAATCAAATATGAAAAAACATTATCTGCTCTATGTAATCTACCAGTTATTAATCATTAGGAAGTGACATGCTGACATTAATTTTGCATCATTAGCAGTAACTCTCATTTAATTAATTGAACATTTGTGAGCCCATTGTTTAATAACATTTTAACTAAAACATTTGTAAACAGTGATTAAAAACCATGTGGGACAAAATAACCTTTACGTAATATTCACACCTTTAAGCAGAATAAATTCTTATAACATATATTTTTCCTATTATTACTTACTCAAAATTCAGTAATAAAAATACACGTCATTATCAACATAAATTTTAACAAATAACAGCTCAAATGCAAACTGGCATGCATGCGTTCAGTTTAGGGAATAAGTGTAACTTTTTAAGGAAATGCTGAATTTCAGTGGAAAACAATGAAAAAAATATTGTTTTTATATCAAACAGTGCATGCTTCCCTTATTCATGAAAAGCCCTACCTAATTATTTGAATATTAAAATCTTATACATTTTTTTATTTCTCCTTCACTTTTAATTTTCCAATTCTAGATGGACTCAATGCATTCATCCCCTCCTTCCAAACTCCACCCCTCAAAAGAATTATTCATTAGATTACAGGTAGTCCTCAACTTACAATCACAATGGAGTTTTGCCCCATTTTAGGACTTTTCTTATACCAGTTAAGTGAATCACTGCAGTTGTTAAATTAGTAACATGGTTGTTAAGCGAATCTGATTTCCCCAATGACTTTGCTTGTCAGAAGATCATAAAAAGATAATAAAAGTTGATCACATGGCCTCGAGACACTGCCATCATAAATGTGTGTCAGTTGTTGGGGATAATGCAATGGTCACAAGTGTGAAAAATGGTCATAAGTCACTTTTTTCAGTGCCATTGTAACTTCAAATGGCCACTAAGTAAACTGTTGTTAAGTCGAGGACTACCTATGTTGGGGAGTAGTAGAGAAAGAATGGAGAGTTCCATTCTTTCTGTAACAGCTTTGTGCATTTTTCTGCTGAATGTAAAAAAAGGCTGCTTCTCTCCTCCAGTAGCCTTTGAATTTAACAGAAATCTTCATACCTATACAGTGTCATTTCTTAAACACAAATGACAAAAAAAGTTACCTTTTCCTGGACTAAGATTTTGATCTATAAAAACCTTTAACTCTCCATTAGCTTCAATGAGACCAGCCTATGAGAGAAAAAAATAACTCATGAAAAATAATCTATAAACCAATTATATTCTGCTATCAACTTTTATAGTAGAAAAAAACATTTGTGTTACAATACTTGATTGTATGGCCTTGAATAAATCTTCACTCTTTTGGCTTTAGCACATGTTTTAAAAGACAGAAATATCAAGTAATGCAATTTCTTCTATGGTTACTTAAAATATTGTCCATTTACACACAGCCATAAAAAAATAAATAAGAAAAACTATCTTATGTACATTAGCTGAACGTTTTTTTGGAAAGAATATTTGGAAAGAATATGATGATGTTCATCAGTTCAACAAAATGTCTTTCAGCTATAAAATCAATATCCTAAATTAAACTACACTGAAGAAACTAGGAGAGAGAATTGCATAACTGTTCTTGTAATCTTTGATAAGTGGAAAACAAATAAACATTCCCAAAAGATGGGAGGAGAGTAAATGTTATTTATTCCCATATTCAAAAACAGGAAGGACTCTGGAAAATACAAACTTGTCTGTTTGATATCTGTACCAGGGCAAAGACCTAACAGCATGCTTGCTACAAATGGTTAGGCTTACTACAAATATGCAATTGGGCAGATCAGTAGTTCTTGAAATTTTTCAAACCATGGAACTAGTTGAAAAAAAATCCTGCAACCCCTAATGAACAAAGTTCTGATAATACAAAATAGTTGTGTTTAAATATATTTTCTTTTCTTTCTTTTTTTTGGGGGGGGGGGGGCGCTCAGAGAGCTTAATCTCTCATCACTCCATCAAGAATCCTGCAGAATAGTTTTAAAAATTCTGGGCCAGCTGGTACTGCTTTTGATGTACTCACAATTGACTTTAATGAGAATTTGTTAATGATTCCACTTCAGCTTGTAGGGATGGACTGTACATCAAAGTCCTGAGTCTGAAGTCTGCAAATGTCATAAAGGTTGGGCAGGTGACAGCTAATACTTTCAGATTCAAAATATTTAGACAGCTTTGAGCCATGTTCTGATTTTTGTACTATGAAATTAAGAGAAAGAAATGTACATTTCTTGTACTGGGAAGGAAAAGGAAAAGACATAAGTTTAGCATTGGGGAGATCTGGCTTGGCAATAGTACATGGAAAAGGTTTTGAACCAGCAGTATGACACAGCTGCTAAAAAGACTAAAATGCTATTTTGGGATGTGTTGGTAGGAACATAGAATGCAGGTCATAGGAAATTTATTTATTTAACAGTTTTCATATAAAAAGAAAAAGAAACAAGCAGGAGAAAAAATAATTGATGCAGAAATATATCTGTAACTGGACAAAGGAATAAACAAGATTATATTCTTAGTACTCAGTATATCTTTGATTCAAAATTAAACATAATAAAATTAAATTACATTTAAGTATTAAGAAAGTTTAAATCTCTAAACAAAATGCTAAAATCTTCATTATTTGTTGTATATGAATATAAAAGTGAGAAAAGAAAAAGACTAAAAACATTATAAATACATTATAAATTTCTAACTTCCTTTGTACTCCAACTAATGTGCAATATTTAATTTATTAGTGCTTATCTTTAATTTCAATTTTAGTTAGTTCTTAAAACCCATATTATGAATAATTGTATTTGCCTTGCTGCATTATATATAATATGCAAGAATGTGATTCTTGCTTAAATTTGCTTGTATTTCTAGTCTTAATATATGCTGTTAATGTTGCCATGTTTTTATGTTTAAATTTCCAGTCTGATTTTTGGGGTTAGCATATTTCTTTTATAATGTTGTCCTAAATTTATCTTTTTTGCCATAGACATGTAATACCTTTTATTAATATGGTTTGGAGTTATGCCCAATAAAACAGTTTCATATCAAATTTGATTTCTAAATTCCTTGAATAGTTCTATGAATTTCTTTCCAATATTTGTTGAGTATTTTTTCTACCACGTGATAAAATATTCCTTCTATCTCATGACATTTCCAAATTTTGTTAGTAAAAAAATCATTGCACTCTGCCTTGACCTGAATGCATCTGGAGCCTTCATCCAAATAATATCAATTTGAAAAGCATGACAAATTGGAGCAGCTTTAGAGTTTAAGATAATTAGAGTTGGAAACTAAGTCTAGGTCAAACAGTAAAGAGTCTAGAGTACGTTTAAATTCAGTAACAGTCTTAAAATATCAGGATCGTTATATCAAACAGGAGTCCTAATAGCTCCTGCCCTAAGCAGGGGGATGGACTAGATGTCCCCTAAAGTGCCTTCCAACTATAATTCACCAGCCTAACTACTGCTTTGTACATGTAATGAACACAGCTTGGCACATTTCTCCTCAAATATAATGGAGAAAAAAACTTTTTTAAAGTTTGCAATGAAATTTCCTCCAAAATATATTTGTGTAGATATCTAGCACTCACTACAAAAACCATCAAATATTGAAATAAGCCAGTATTACACCAACTTCAACAAATCTCACTGCAATTGCTGTTGAAATATGTCATCATAACCAGCTCATATATCCCAATATTAAAATAGATTAAAAGTAAGGAAAATTATATGCCTTGCTAAAACATGCTTCATTTCCTAATTTGTTTAAATCAGTGTTCCTAATTTAAGTTTGGTGTACTGTATTATTGCAAAGGTTTAGAATTGTCGTGGCAGAGTTTTTTACTCTCTAGGATAACTTTCCAAGAATATATAAAGCTATGGCACTGATGTTGCATAAGACACAGCTTCTCCTCTCACAGAAGAATGTTTTTAAATCAAATTCATTTCCCATCAGGTAGTCCAGAAAGATACCAAGATTATTACTACTGCATGCTGTGTATCTATGACAATATAAACAAGATCATCCCTTTATGACCTATCCAAACAATTTCAAGTAGAGTGATGGTAACTAGCATATAGAACTAAATAAAACCATAATTAAAATGCTAATAAAAAAGTTATTAGGGAATTCCATCAAAACCAAAAGAAAATCTAGTTTTAGTTGAACAGATCCTCAACAATAATAGTTTTACTCCTAAAGCTTATATAAACCAAAATGCATTCATTTAAAATAGGATTCATCAGGATCTTTATTTTGTTAATCAAGTTCACAAAATAAGCTTCATCTATTTTAGGACTTAAAACCTGAGCAGTCTCAAGAAAGCTGGACCTGAATTTCTTGCCTCATCTTGAAACCTTAAGCTACAATGCTCCAAATGCTACTTCCTCTCCGAAAAGTAACCATGAAAACAGGTCACTTACAATAAAAGAAGTACAGATTAGAAATTCTTTATTACAAACACATACTAGTGCAAAATAGTGCACCACATAATAAATAAGGAACTTTATTCTGATTTGGAGAAAATAGATACCTTTCGTTAATACCTTTTGAGTAAAATTTGAATTATGCTCTATCCAACTGGGCCATTTCACAATTAAAACTACAGAGATAGGACTAGAATCACAGAGACTATATAAATGCATTAAAGTATTTCTTTAAGATAAGAATTAAAAATGAAGAAATTAAAGGTTTATAAATATAAACAATTTGTAAAAGTAGTTTCCATCAACTTGTCCACAGCCAACCATTGCCTTTCTAGAAAAAGTTAAGCAAGGTCAGACAAATTACCCTAAGTACTAGGATGGGAATCCATCAGAAAGTCAGGATTGTAGATTGAAGTGCAAAGTTGGAAAAACATTTAAGACGATGACAAGCTGTTGTATCTTATATGCACAATTTAGATTATTAAAAGTACTAGTCTCACATCAGTATGTACCACATTTTTAAATTGTATGAAATGATTGTGAAATATAATTTAATGCAACACCACATTCATAAATTCTCTAATCGTGTGTTTTACTTGGGATCAAAGAGCTTTGCCGAATAATCCAATAAATTTTAACATATCCACCATTATGCACATGTGATAACAAAGTCGACTTATTTTGGGTTACTTGATTGGGTTTGCTATCAACACTTCAACTCAGAATACAAATTATTGTTGAGCACTACACCAAAGTCCAATATAACCCTGAGATATATCTTTCACCTAAACTAGAAACAAATTGCAATTATGTTCATATCAGAACTTATAAGAGATGGTTTAATCATCATGACTTTGGAACATCAAACCTGAAGATATGATTTTGATTTGAAATCTTTAAATTATTCTGATAAACTACTTGTGTACGAAACAATTCTTATTTTATTTTGAATTAGCCTCTAAATCTTTCTTTTGTTTTCGTATTACTTTCTGGGTAGATTATGCAAGCAGTCCATAGTCCACATATTTGTTAAGGAATCAATTTTTAGGTTCATAGCTGTCTCATTAAAATGAATAGTTCAGAATGGTTATACTTGAAAAATACCAAATGTTAATCTCCATGAACATTTAATCAAAATAAATTTATTTAGCTAATCAAGTCAAAATGAAGTTCCAAAGCATTCCCAACTAACTCATCTTTCTAGTTTTCCTTTACAAACAAAGTAAAAATGATTTAAAGAGTCTGAACTTCCTAGATTACTTTCAGCTACATACAGTGTAGATGTATGAAAGCAGCAAACAACATGCTATGGAAATCAATGCTTTTCCAGAAGACACAGAATCCTTTCTTACAAGGTCATATGCTAGACAGTCACTTAAATGCAAAGGAAAATATTCACACCAATCATTTAATATGTAACAGATATTCCTTTTCAATTTTATAATTCTTTCTAAAGACATCTTTGATTCATTTTCTGGAAAAAACACATCATTTAATGTTATTAAATTAAGTCTGTCGATTTTAAAATCAAAGTTCATGTGAGGGATACATTTTGTTTAGCAGAGAATGACGTATTTTGAAACTGATTGGCTGTAAAATAAAAAGAAATTAGCTTTTTAAAGAGTATGTAATGCCCAAGGGCTCTTAATAAGGTAAACATTATTAAAAAAATAAGCAAGAGTATTTTATCATGAAGTGTAAAAACATTCAAATGTTTCAAGTGTTCCCAACTCAGAACATAGTGCTCCTAAATTCTGACTCAAATTCAAGACAAAACCAGGCAGATTATTCCACGTGGTTTTGTGTGACCAGTATCACAGTCCTGACTTAAAAATTTTTACAAACTATGCTGACTTGGAGAATAATCCTAATAACCACTAACTTTAAGGAGTTGGGAATTTTAGATTCTCAGTTAAGCACGTTTATTAAGAACACTCTGGATAAGAAAATATTGTTATCTGCCCGTTTTAAAAATATTGTTTATTATTAGAAAGTTAGAGCTCACCGGTTGTCAGTTATTTTTCAGAGAATTTGCCAAATGCAAAATGTGTACTCTACGTGTACTGTACAATACAGGTATGTCCTCAACGTACAACCACAATTGAGCCCAGAATTTATGTTGCTAAGTGAAACATTTGTTAAGTGAGTTTTGTCCCATCTTATGATGTTTTTTGCCACATTTGTTAAATGAATCATTGCAATTGATGCTGTTAAGTGAATCTGGTTTCCCTTTTGACTTTGCTTGTCAAAAGGTAAAAAAAAAATTGATCACATGACCCTGGGACACTGCAATCATCATAAATATGAACCAGTTGTCAAGCATCTGAATGTAAATCACCTGACCCTGGGGAATGCTTCAATGGTCATAAGTGTAAAAAACGGTCGTATCACTTTTTTTAGTGCCATTGTAACTTCAGTCAGTCAGTATACGAACTGTTGTAAATCTAGGACTACGTATATAGGTAGCACTGTTATATAGTTGAGCTCATATGCAAAATAAGCCCACTCTAAAAGAATGTGCATAAAGTAATAGCCAGAGAAAGTTGTTACTTTCTTACACTAAGCTTTGCTGATATTATGAAGTTAACATGTTTTGAGTTTGAAAGTGTTTACTGAAATATTCCAACTATTCCAGAAGTGTTCCAAGCTTGAAACAGCACTGGAATATGTTTGGTAATATCATTGCAATTGTTTCAAACGCTGATGCGGACATTTTGAACTTGAAAATGAATCACAAGGTCATTGGACAATATAGGTTAAACAAATTTAATTTTAAAAAGGCAATATGATTTTTGATATTGAATGGTTTTTAAGTCATAAACCTGCACCTCTATAACTGTCTGGTTTGGTTCTGCAACCCAACAGATTTCAGAGGATAATTAGGACTGGAGAAAAAACAATTACTACCCTTCCATTGAGGATCTGTATACCGCACAAGTCAAAAAGAGTGAAAATATTTAGAGACCCCTCAAATCCCAGACATAAACTGTTTCAACTCCTTCCCTCAAAATGACGCTAGAGAACTGCACACTAGAACAACTAGACACAAGGACTGTTTTTCCCAAACACCATCACTCTGCTAAACAAGTAATTCCCTCAACACTGTCCAACTATTTACAAAGTCTGCACTACTATTACTATTAATCTTCTCATCACTCCTTATCACCCATCCCCTCCCACTTGTGACTGTATAACTGTAACTTTGTCGCTGGCATCCTTGCAATCTATATTGACTATTTCCTAGTATGATTTGATTGCTTATTTTGCCCTATGACTATCATTAAGTGTTGTACCTTATGATTCTTGATGAATGTATCTTTTATTTTATGTACACTGAGAGCATTTGCATCAAGACAAATTCCTTGTGTGTCCAATCACACTTGGCCAATAAAGAATTCTATTCTATTTTATATATTCAAGATATTAGAGAAAGGTTTCAGGGTTCCAGGACACACATAATCTCAGGCTTATTCAAAGCTCATATTCCTACTTCAGATCCTCCACTACATAAAGTCTGCAACATTCTATTTATGATTTTAGCAAAAAAACAATATGAACATTTATTTCCCATCCTATAAAGAAATACATCTTTATGTAGCAGTCAAATTATGTATGCTTACACCCAATCCTTAGCATGTTCAAACATAGTTGCATGCTTTAAGGTAATTAAAGTCTTCTATAAGTCAGACTTCATTTATGAACTGAATGGACATCATCTGGCAACAACAGGAAAATGGTATGTATCATTGCCTTGTTCTGAGTTTTAATTGAATATATATACAATTATTGTTTAAGCTTCCAACTAACCTTCCATGTATATTGAAGGTTAATTGTTCACTTGTATCTAATCTGTAATAATATAGTAATATCTATAAGTTGTTGGATGCAACTGATTCAGTTAATATTTAGGATATGCAACAGGTTGCAAATCAACTGATGCCTATGAAAGCTTGTTCAGAAATACAGTTTGAAATAAAAGGTGTCTTAATGAATAGTTTAAAATGGTTTGATTTGAATATAAAGTTGTGGACTGCTGAAAATGGTGTAGTCCTCTTCTTGAGCTTCATAAGTAAACTATTCAAACTAACAAACTGACCAATCAATGCCTTGGTAGATCAGAAACTGTGATTTTTTAAAGTATCAAATGGTTATCCAACCAATTAAATTTCTGCTCATATGTGTGGATTAAAGTGAACTAATGGTTCCTAACTCTGAGGAAAGTTATAATTAAGAAATAGTGATTTAAAACTTCAAGCAAAACTTATCTGATGATTTGAGTAATTGAAAATGTAATTAAAGCTAATACCGTTAAAAATTATGTACACATTCAAGTACAATAAGGTTATATTAGCAGAAGTTTAAATATATACCTATAGATTAGGTAATTATTACAAAATATTGTATCCATGATACAAATAATCAATCATGAAACAAAGTCAGCACCAGATGAGCCATCTAAGTTTTCAAATTTAAAGCTTCTTGCAATATTAAAAATTATCAACAGATGAAAACAAATCATTAGAAAACCTATCATATGATCCACAGCAAAATTCTAAAGCAGGATATATATATTTTTTGAAAAATACAAAGGTAGACAAAATGTAATCATCCTTTTGCTAAAAATAGGCAGAACTACTGGTGATTCAAATAAAACTTATTCAAATCAACCAATTAGTTCTTTCTAAAGTAAACTGGTAAAGAATTGGTTCTTTTCTAAGTAAAAAAAATAAAAATATACTTATAATGGGTAGTACTAAGATAAATAGTTTTGTACTGGAATTTTATTTTGATAAAATGTGGCATGTTTTGACATTGTTAAAACCACAGCCTCTGCCTAATAAGCTACTTGTCTTGTTTGTAGATGATGGAGTTTATGATATACTAAAGGTAGTTCAGCTATGCTGAGGAAGGGTGCAACTATAATTCTTGGAATATGGTAATAGTTCCACTGATACAGTTATTATTCAATAAAATATATCTGCTTTCTTCAACTCCTTATAAGACCATTTTAGCAACAGTAATAAATTCTATTATTCATTAATCCTAGCAATAAATCTCTAAAATTATTTACAAATATACTTACATCTTTTGCCATGTTACCAAGTCCAAAAACAAAAATGTTTATTTCTGATCACCACAGGAATAGAAACAGTTGTATTATATTCTGAAAAAGAAAGGGAAGAATATAGTTAAGTGTAAACTCCCACACCTTCCATATTGAATACCAACAGTGCTCAGATATTGTTAGTCGTTCAGCTTGGATTTAAACTAAGTTAAGATTTGCAAAAGTTCTCTTTCCCATATGGGGCAGCTTAGTTCTCAAGGAATTTAAGTTTCTTTCTGAGAATTTTTTTTAAAAATCTAAACGGAGAAACATTGTGGGTGGTGTGAGCAAGATAAGGTCCTACCCAACGGTGCACCGAGTTTCTGAAAATAATTATGCCTCATAAACAAAGATATGGCCAACCTAAGCGTGCAATGCCTGCCCCTTTCCCTGCATTACAATTGCTAGGCCTCGGGGCCCAACCCCCAATGCACTCTTTCCCAATCCCAAACAAAACGCACGCCGCTTCCTCTGTGCAAATAGCCAAGCAGGCCGAGGCAATTTATGTAATGTTTCCACGAGGAGGAGGGGGAGCGGGCCCTCAGCCCCGATGGAAATCAAGCAAGCAGCAGCAGCAGCATCTGTGCTTCAGAGAGCCAGTCTCGCCAGCCCCCGCCTCCTGCACCTACCCGCCCCTCTCCGGGGCCTCAGAAGCCCCGCCAGAGCCCTGGAAGTCTAGCCCCGCCACACCAACTGCCTCCCGGAGCCACCCAGGCACCACTCTCCCCCTCGTTCCTGTGTCAGCGGCCCGAGGAGGGAGGGGAAAGCGGGGAGGGGAGAGGTCGGCGGACTGAAGAGGACAGAGAAGAGGGTCTCCTTCCTCATGTTAAACCATCCCGCCTAAATGCTCCGCCACAGCAGGAGGAGGAGGCGGCGGCGGCGGCGATACTCGGCTCCCGCTTCCTCCTTGCCTGCCACCTGTCCTCACGACAACCCCTCCCCCTCCCGCAACCTTTACCTGAAGCGCGGGCGAGGGGTAGCCGAGAGCCAACGCCATCCCCCACCACGCACTCCCGAGCAATTCCCCCACCCACAGCGCCGCCGCGCTCTCACAGGAGCCAGAGATACCAACTGCACATGTGCAATGCGCCGCCCTCCCAAAAAGCCCCCGGAGGGGGGCGGGAGACCTAGCGGGCGCCCTCGCCGGCAGGAGCCCTCTTTGGAGGGACGCTTCAACTACACCGCCCCCCACCCACCCACCCACCCCGTTGCACCAGTCGCCAAGTGAAACCGCAAACTGTCCCGCAGTCCTGATAAAGCGGGAGGAAGGCAACGCGGGGTTTTTTTTTCCTTGTTTTTAATCGCAGCGTTGCCCTCCAACTCCCCCTGTTCGGTTCCTTTGGGGAGAGCGATGGCTGGAGGACCTTCCTTGCACAAGGGCCCCCGGTGGGGGGAGTGGGAGGGGGGGAAGGCTGGACGGCCGACCTCGCGCTTCAGCACGCAGTCGCAAGTCCCTCTTAACTGTCTTGCAGTCCTCGAGGGTGCAGCCTCTGCACGTTGGCTTGAGAGCAAAAGATCCTCGGGTGACTGTTGCACGCCAACTCCGCGTGCAAAGGGTCGGTCGAGGGACGAGACCGGCTGCCTCAACCTGAACTGCGCCGCCTCCGGAGTAATTGCCCCTTAAAACCAGTCGGTCTTATTTCCACCCCGCTTGGCTCCAATTAGAATCCAGAGTTCCCCATTCGATGCGGACTTCCAAGGAAGCGAGCCTTGCCAGGCGGCGGGGGAAGCTGCTTCTCGGGAAGCGTGAACCGAAGGCGGCGGCAAAGCCGGCCGTCGCCGTTCTCCGGAGAAGCGCTATCCCCCCCTCCCCTGCCCTGCCAAGTCGCGGCTCTCCTTCCTGGCCCCGAGGCTCCGTCGAGCGCGGCGGGCTGTCGTCCTTGACGCCCCGTAGCTGCCCCTCACACCTGTTCGCGCTTCCCGCACAGGAGGCGGCCGACGACGACCAAGGGGAGCCGCTGCCCCCCCCTCCTCCTCCTCCTCCGCTTCCTCTCCCGCCGCGATCCCGCAAGGATGAGTTTCTTGGCGGTTGGCAGGAAGAAGGGAGGAAAAAATTGAAACTTACACTTTCGTGCGTCCCTCCGGCGTGACGCTGCGCGCTGGAGCTGACGTCACGGAGGGAAAACGTGCCCCACATAGACAAACGCGAGGAGCTCGTTACACCCTCCCCCGTCTCCTCACGCCAGACGTTTGTTTAGCCAAGCCCACTGGGGCGGTGCGGGGGGGGGGGAACCGCGCGCATGCGTCAGGTTTTCGCGCCTTCGGGATGCCAACACGCCTTTCTGCTCCCGGAGACTAAATGCGCTAGAGCGGTTGCTGGTGGCTTCGGAATCCGCCAGCTGGCCCCCACCCCGCCGAAAGCCCCGCCCTCGCGAAATGGAAGGCTCTGTCGGGAGGAGCGCTGCCCCGCCCATTGGAGTGAATGATCAGGGCCGCTGTAATAACTTCCCCCATACCCCCCCACCCCCCCGGCCTGACCTCTTTTAGTCTGCAGACGGGAGCGCAGTGGCTTCAAACCCGTTGGTAGGTTATCGGTGGCTTCCTGAAATTCGCAAAATATTCTCAGGGCCGAGAAGTATCTGTCGAAGCGCTCGTTGTATGGCATAGTTGCGATGCTGCTGTCGAGTTCATAGCGAGATGGAAGAGGTGGGCCTATTACAGATGCACTGTCGTTTTCCAGAAGCAGCCATTCGTGACCTGTGTGGACGAGCTGTTTCCAAAGTAGGAAGACGCACACAACCATTTCGGGAGGAGAGAGAGATTAATTCAGGAGGGAGACCCTATGCCTATGGATACCGGAGACGGAAGGCCAAGAATTCAATTTCTCTATATGTAGGGCTTTCTCTGTACATTTAAAATAGCCCCTTTTTATATATTGCATTTAATTATTTGTTCATTCCATACTCGTTCATCTTTAAATGGAGATTAGAGTTTTGAATTAACATACTGCCTCTTAAAATGCCCTTATCTATATTTGCACAGTCGGCTTGAGCAGGTTTCTTGAGAAGGGACATGATTTAGGAAAAGGTAGTTCAACAAAAAGCAAGGTTGATATGCAAGGTCACACAGCTTACAGTAATTTGTTCCTGCCCTACCGATTCATATTGTGAAGGCAGTTTCCTTGTACTATTTGAATATGAGGATGTTGAGAATGTTACATACTTTTAAAACAATCTTGTTTACCCTATCAGAAAAGCATATGAAAATATTAATATTTAAAATAGAAGAGGGGATTTTACTCCGGATAATACTCTGTGTATGTCAGCCACTGAATTTTTGAATAGGAATAATACAACATAAATAAATGTTCTGTCCAAGTTTTAAGTTAGAGAAAAGGTAATACAAGTAGTCCTTGACTTAAAACAGTTATTTAGTGACCATTCAAAGTTACAATGGCACTGATATTACATTTAGGAATTTTTGCCCCAAATCCATGTACTTAATTTGTTGCAGAGCGAAACTCCATTTTACATTATCGAATGCCTTTTTAGCATCCAAAAACAATAGTGCTACCTGGTCTCCACTATGCTCTTCGTAATACTCTATATCTAAGATTGTTCTTATATTGTTCCTGAGATGTTTGTATGGGAGGAAACCATTTTGATCCGTGTGAATAAATGTTTAATATTTGTTTGAATCTCAGCTATTATGGTTACGAAAATTTTGTAATCCACATTTAATAGGGATATTGGCCTATAATTTCCTATATTTGTTTGATCATTTTTTTTCTTTTGGGATAATTGTGATGTAGCTTCCTTCCACGATTGTGGAATTTTTGCCTCCAAGACGTCATTAAATAATTTAAGCAATCTGTTGCCTAGTATATCTTGTTGAGTTTTGTATAATTCAGAGGGAAGTCCATCTGGCTCTGCCACCTTATTGTTTGTTTATTGCCCAAATAACTTCCTCAAGATTTTTCCATTCAACATACTTTTTTCTTTCGATATTCTAGGAAGATCTTTCTTTAGGCAATTTATCCCTTTTTCTTCTATTAAGTATTCTTTATATAGACCCTCATAAAATATATTCTGAGCTATATTCCTTTTCGTTTGTCTCCATCTCTTTTCTGCTTGTTTTTTCAATTTGCAGGCTAGCCATCTTCCTGGTTTATTGGCATTCTCAAACGTTTCAGAGTTATGACCTTTGCAGCATCCCCATGGTCATGGGATCATAGTTCAGATGCTTGGCAACTAGTTCATATTTATGACCCTTGTTGTGTCCCAAGGTCATGTGGTAACCTTTTGTGACCTCACAAGAAAACTCAATGTGGAAGCCAGATTCATTAACCAACCAGATTTACTAACTTATCAACTATGGCAAGACAGCTCGTCAAATGGGGCAAAATCCACTTAGCAAATATCTTAACAACAAAAAGCTTTGGGGTCAATTTTCATAAGTCGAGGACTACCTGTTTAGTGGCTGTTCACTATTACGAGGGTGATGAAAAAATAACTATAACCAACATTTGCATTTACAAGCTTCACTTAGTCTGGAAAGCTCAGTAAAAACTTAAACACAATTGCAGTTTCACTTAGTGACTACTTTCCTTAGTTGACTGAGTTGCCAGTCCAGATTGTGTTTGCTAAACAAGAACTACCTATATTCTCCAGGTTTTTCACTTCCAATGTTATATGCAGAAATGATAGTTTGTAATTTTTACAGATACCTTCTGTACCTTTAGAAAGTAATATTTAATCTATATTTTGAAAACAGTTTTAATAAATAAACTCTTATAGTGAAGAATGTGCAGAATTATCAATTCTTGCTTAGGGTGCCAGTTTTTTAAAAATTTAGCTGAGTTCAGTGAATAACCAGTGCATTTATTTCTAATAAGTAACACTGCAATATACTATGGAGCAATATAATTTAAGGATTATTTTTCATTTTAAGAAAATGCATAGTAGTGAATCATTTATTTATACAGAAAGACCAGTTCATGACAGCAAATTCTAATTCTGCTACGATGTATATATCCAATAGAACTACAAACTTAAATATCCCCAAGAATACTTTTAATTAACAGTTATCAGTACAAAAAGATGTTTGTATTCATACTAGAAGTTTTTCTGATCACTATTAATCATGTTTCAGACCACAAATCATTATAATAATAAATCATTATTACAGGCTATTTTAAAAAAATAATGCAATGAGATATTCTTAGGAATATAATTTACAGTTCTCAAGAGCAGTTTTAAAACCTGTATTTGAATGAAAAACTTACATTACTTTGAAAAAACCTTTTGTGGCTATGTTTGGCTAGATAGTAATTGGGTGGTTTTCTTTAACACAGGCACTATAATTGTTAATTTGCTGTATGGGCTGGAAAATAATCCTTTAAAAGGCACATTAATTGTTGGATTCATAGATTTTTTTTCTAATAAATCAAATTTTGGAAAAATCTATTTTAAATGATATTCAGTATTCTAAAAAAATCAAAATTATGAAAAATGTTACATTTTTGTTTCATGAACTGAAACCAGTATAAGCCTTGTAGTCAGCTAAGTAACATGAAATGTATTATCTAAAGAGGCTTCCTTCTCTGAAGTGTGTGAACTGAAGATTTTCAGGAATATAATCGTCTTTCAGATCTTGGTACGCATTTCATAATTGCAGCTCTCCACAGTGCTGGTGCAAGCAACTGACTTAGAGTAGTCACACTCAGTATAAGGAGGTAGACCTAGAAATTGGAAAATAAAATGTTATCTATGTTTTTTATTTACATTTTAACTCAGGGGCACATTGTAAGTGCTTAAACTTAACTGACATTGTTAAAAGTAATGTAATTGTGCTACACCTGGTCAACCTGTTCAGCTTGAATACTTAAGATTTCATATTCTGGAATGTCCTGGCAATGATTTAACTACTCCAAGACAAAAGTCAGCATGCAATTTTTACTTGCTGATGGGACAAGGACACAATGAGAAGCTATTTTCTATGTTACATTTCTTTATTTGAATGGCTTTCTGGGGAAGCAATAGCAAAATGAGCCAACCAACTGGAGCAGAACGAAAAACCAGCAAGTGGAGAAGGAAGAGAACTCACACATTCCTCTTAAGACTATAAAACAGTGGAGGGTT